AATAGCTTTTGAATAATTAAGAGGGAGGATGTCCAGAGTTTATTAAAATGTAGTTTTTCCATAAGTCTAGGGGTGACTCAATAAATATCCAGCTCGAGGGACACATGTCCGCAGAAGGCATTCTGCAAAAATTTTAAATTACTTCCTTTAAATTTTTCCGCATTCAGCTACTTTCCCCATCTCACTAAATTTTCCCAAGATAATCAGAATAGGTTGACAATTTGGCGCAAAAACTTGTGTCCTTCGAGCTGGGCATTTACCGGGATAACTCTTTAGTAAATTTTTATTTCTTCCTTTAAATTTGTTCCCAAAATTTTTCCAAAATAATTTCTAAAAAAATTTTAGATTTATTTCCGAATATCATGTTCGTGCCTATGATGCTGGTTTTGACTCTGTTATTGCTGCAATTGAAGGTTCAAGGGTAGATTCTTGGGTGCTAATACGTGGAGTGGCTGATTACCAACAAGGTGCTACAAAAATTGGAAAGCTTTGGCAGGTAATTCAAAGAATTTTTTTCTTTTTAATTTTCCACTAAATATTTATTTCAGCATTATGCTTCTGCAAATGCTGCAGCTATGGTTAAAACAATTCTTGGTCGAATTCCAGCAACGAGATAAAAAGGAAGGAATTTTTATTTTATAACATAAGGGATATATAAATATTTTAAATAAAAATTGTGCCGCTTAAAAATAATTTTTTTTAATTTTATAGAAGTTATTAGGTGCGGACATAATTAGTGAGCCTTTTTAATTAAGTTTCGGGATCTAAATTTCTATAGATTTGCCTCTTTTTTTTTGTACATGTGTATTTTAAAATATTCTTTAACAGCCTCTAAAATTTTAAAATTTTTTATTCGGTTACTAAAAGTCGTGGATGAAAAATTCTCTTGAAAAAGGCTCACTAATTGTGTCCGCACCGAATATTTTTGATAATTTTTGTGAAAATATTTAAAAGACGGCACAATTATTTTTTTCTATCAATTTTATTTTTTGTTTTTCGGGAAATATATTTTAAAGGAAGTTACGTGCAACCATTTTTGACCTTATATTTAATTTAAATTTTTGCCTATTTGAAAAGCTTTAAAAATAAATAAAATTAAAAAATAATTTTTGTAAAATATTTATTTTTAAAATGAAATTTAGTTATTCTCAAAAAATATTATTCAATGGGGTTTTTAGTAATAATTTGATCAAAAAATATCTCAACTAGAGATCGGACTGGTAGTGTTGAAAGAGGTATCTCGAAAATCAAGACTTTTGTTCGGGATCTTCTCGGTCCGATCTCTACTCAATTATTCACTAGAAATTCCATTTTTAAATAAAATAAGTCTTTCCATTCCATTAGGGCTAGGCTGGACAAATTGTATCTTTTGTGGAGTTTTTGCGCCTTAAAATAATTTTTAAAAATTTTATTTTACTAAAAAAACTTGAAAATGGGGAAGATTTTCGTTGTGAATGTAATGTTTTTGTAATAATTTTACAACATCCAAGTTTTTCCAACATTTCAACAAGTCCATGTAACAAAACAGGTTGTAATACGTAAACAAAACGAGAAGTTAAATCATCAATTAAAATTCCAGGGTTTGCATAAATATGCCAAAATATACCTTCCAAAACTCGTCTAAAAATAAAATTAATTTTTTAATTGAAGAAATGTAAAATATTATTTTACATATATTTAGAGTGTTTGTATTTTACAGAAAAATAAAGACGAATAAAAATCAGGTGAATTTACCCAATGGATTTTTAACAGTGACTTTTCAACGTCGAAAAAAGGATTTTTTAACGATAATGAGAATTATATTGGGGAACATTTTAAATAAATTCAAATTTATTTCTTTTTGTTTTAAAAGAAAAATCCTTTTTCTTCCCCACTTATAAATTACAAAAATTCCCCATTTAAATTATATCAAATAATCTTTAAAAAAAAAACAAATTTAAATACCTTAACACCTTCCAATTTATCTCTCCTGAAGGTAGCAACCAAGGTTTAGCAACAAATCCATTTCCTTCTTTAGTTTTTAAAAGCCATGCACGTCCATTCCTTGTGCTTACAAAAAATCTTTTTTCAACACCACAGGGAAAAATTAAAGTTTCTTTTATTAAAATATTTAAATTAATATTAAATTCATCCAAATTTTGGGGATTAATTGATGCCTAAATTGAAATAAAAAAATTATTTAAAAAATCAAAAAACCTTCAATTCCTCTTCAGAAATACCCAGAATTCCCGAATTATCAATTAATTTATAAAGTTTTTGAACTTCTTCAGAAAAGTTTTTGTCTAATTCTTCTGTCACATTACTTTCCGAATTTTCTATTAAATTCATTTTTTCTGCCGGAATAAATTTTTCAAAAGGCAACAAATCTTCAAATTGCGGCATTCCACGTATTGTAGACAAAATTGATTCATTTAATGTTGTTGGACGAATTTTAAGTCGTTCAATACATAATTCACTGTCTTCTAGATAACGTAATTGTTTTGTGGCGTTTATTTTGAACTGAAAAATTGAATTGTTAATGCTCCAAGAGGGAAAAAATTAAAAAATATTATATTTTCCCCAGTTTTCAAGCATAAATGAAGTTAAACCGACGTTACAACCCTAAAGGAACAAAAAACTGATCCACTGCATGATGTAAGGAAGAGAAAGATCCAGCTGGCTAGCATTTAAAACGCTCACTAGGAGGAGCTTCCACCTTCTCTATTAAAAGAGAAGGTGAAAGCAGCGTCCCGGTAACTCAGCAATAACTGCCAGGAGGTCGCAGGATCGAAGCCTGCCCGGGATTAAACTTCTACCTCGCTCTTACTACCACATCACCTAGTTAACACATAACCTTCCTTTTTTAAAATAATTAATATTTCCTTACATGTGTTTCTTCTTCTTTCACCGTGTTGGAAGTTGAAGGTCCATCACTACTTTTATTTAATTTAAATAGTGCATCAAATGATTCTGGAATAGTCATATCAATATTTAACTTTAAAAATTAATTTTTATTTTATCAAACAAAAAAACAAACCGGTCTAGAATCACAAGCTAAATTAGCCAAAATAATAAATTCCCCAGGATTTTCGAATTCTCCAAAATCATTTTTCTTGTTTGGTTTATTTTCAATAAATTTTGTTGTTGTATCCAAAATATTTTTCTTTAAATTTGTATGTAAAGTTGATTCAAAATAATGATGATAACTTTAAAAAATGATGAGATTTTATAAAAATTAATGGAAATTTTTAAATTTAATAAAGGTTTATTTCCAGAGCACTCCCAATTTTCAAAAAAAAATTTCGCCCATAATCAACAAATAAAATTTAAATTTATTTACAATTGTGTGAGTCGAACAGATTTTCTTGCACTGTAAGAAGTCTCTTGAGTTTCGACAGATTTTTGAGGTGATTGCTCAACTCCACTTTCTCCCAAATCTTTTGATTGTTTGTCTTCTGTTCCCGTTGCTTTAGAACCAAATATACGATTTTTTGTGATTAAACCATCACTGCGAATATTTTCTATTGTATTAGATAATATCTATAAAAAATAATTAAATAATTTATTTTGAATGTTTTAGGAACGACTAGAATTTTTAGTAATGCAATATTAAAAAATCCCAATTTTTTGCAATCGTTTCTCTAACTTTTCTGGTTAAATAGGAGATCTTAGCAATGAATGATCCAGCTTCTCCCTAAATATTTCTTCGAAAGAACTAAAAAAGTGGGCTGAAAAACTAGTACTTTGTTACTAGCAGAGGTGTAATCAAGAGTTCGATTTCAGAGGGGCTATAGCCCCAGAAGCCCTCTCATGGCTAAGCCCTTGGTTACTAGTACTTAAATATGTGATCCTTATAGCTCTTCCAATCTAGCTTTTCCAATCAAATTAAATTTAAAATTAAAAATAAATAACCGAAGGTTCAATTTGATGAAGAAGAAAATTTGTAAATTCTACTCCTCCACTAGATAAATAGTTTCCTCCAATATCACTTGTTGAAGGTTCTATTTGCGTTTTTTGTCCTTCAAAAGTTTTTTCAGTTACATTTTCACTTAACAGAGCCGACTAGAAAATTTAAAATATTTTTAAAGATATTTTAAAAATTAACCATAACAGCATTAAATGCCACACGTTCTTTAATCTCTTCAGCACTTTTAGGTGGGTGAGAACGAGTTGGGGCATAAGCTGTTTTATCGTCTGATGCTACTTGAATAAAGTGAAGTTTATTTTTATTCAAATGATTTCGAAATTCTTGATCACTAGCATAAATAGATGGACAATCATCTGATTCTCTAAAAAGTAAAAAAATATTTCAGACCTTAATTTAAAGATGAAGTTAGTCAAAAAGGGAAAATATTAACAAGGCCGATTCTGCTAACAAGGAAACCTTCCGAACTGTGAGCAAAAATTTTTTGATAAAAGTTATACCATCGTGCAGAGCATATGCTTAACCGCAATCTACTACTGTGTTGCATATCATAGGCCATATCAAAAAATTTTTACTCAGAGTTCGGAAGGTTTCCTTGTAAGTCAAAAACACCAAGAAAATCGGAGGAATGAACTTAATCGAGATACAATTCTTCCTAGATAAATTAACGATTTTTTCATTCTTTTATGAGATCGATCAAGAAAAACATAGAAATCTGTTTGAGTTCAACTAAAATATTCAGGGAAAAAATGCAGAGAATGTTCATACTTGTTACTAGTATTTAAATTTTAAAACTCACCTAAATAACAATTTATAAGCAGTTCGAAAAGCATCAATAAAAAATAAATCTTTGGGTTTTAAATCATCCCCCTCTTTGATAGGTTCTTTAGACAAATTCATTACGACCAAACGATTCCTCAAATTCAGCAAATCTTTAAAACTAGCCAATGTTTTAACAATATATTGGTGCTGATCTTGTCTGTCTTTTAATTCTCTGACACCGGCAGCCATAAGAGAATAAGTTGTTTTTGTACGAGATTCCTTTAAAGAAAGGGGGAAAATTTTTGGATAAAAAAATTCCAAAAAAATTAATTACTGGAACAAATTCATGCATAAGATTGCGCATAACTTTTGGATGTGGCCAAAATTTTGAGACTGGATTTAAGAAAAAACTGCTGGCACGGATGAGAAGTAACTAGAATAAAATATAAATTAGTAAAGGTATTATGTTGTGAACAAATTAAAAGGGAATCTTACAAGGAAACATCGGATACTGTGTACAAAAATTTGGTAATTTTTTGGTACCAATCGATAGAGGACCCCCGACTTTCTATTGTGTTGTGATATCCGTTTTCTATCAAAATCACTTTGGGCCAAGTTATGGCCGTTCAAAGTTTAACGTTAGAGGCTGAATTAAAGGGTAAATGAGTAGCCTTAATAATACACAAGAATATCAGAGAGGAAACGTATGAAAAAAAACACAAAACTAACCATATCACGTTCTCTCTGTGAAAATCTACTTCGCAAATAAGATTTGTGTTGAAGACTAATTCTGTCAACATTATCCATTAACCGAGCATTTTGTGAATAATGCCTTTTTGTAGGTTCAGTTTTGCTTTGAATACTTTTTGTTGGAGAACTACTATCATCAACTGAAGTACTTCCAGTTTCTTCTGCATCTTTTGGTATTTCAATTTTGACACTTTTCTTTGGGTTTCGTTTGTGGACTATTTTGCCTTTAAACGAGAATTTTTAATTTCTAAAAAGAAAAGAAAATTAGAAACTTATTCTTCTTTGCTTGGCTGATTCAACCAAATTATTTATTGTTTTAGAAGAAAGTATTGAATATGGATTGGCACCTTTCTTTCCATATTTACTTTAAATTTTTTATCAAAAAAGATTAATTTTTAAGAAAATAAACTGGTATGCTTGAAGACGTTCAACAGTTGAAAATGTTTTGTGTAGCAAAGAACCACTAATAGGGGGAGTTGAGGATGTTTGTTCTTGTTCCTCAATCATAACAACATCATGACTCTTTAATTAAAAAATTAGATTACAAGAAAAGACACTTAAAGTGAAGCTAGCCAGGAAAAATCAATTTCAAAAAATAAAATTTTCTGAACGGCCAGCTCATTATGCTAAATTTGCATATATTGGGAGGGGGCCTATCTTTCAGAATTATCAATCTGACTGAAGTTCAAAAAACCACTACAAACCTGTTCCTTTTTAAGTGGACTATCTTCCTCAACCTGTACCACAACTTTTGGTTCAACAACTGGACGTTCTCTTTTTAATTGATGCCCAGAAGGAAAACTTTTATTTTGCTCTTTAAACTCAGCCATTGTTTTTTCTAAAACTTCAGAAACATGAACATCTCCAATCGAAGTAATTTCTGGAATTGTGATGACATCAATCTAAAAAAGAAAATTTAGACCGAAAAATTCTTTTGACAATTGGGTTCCCAATTCGAGCCAAAAATCGAAAACTGAACCGGGCCGGCAACCCTAATTCAAATATCTCAAGTATATCCAACCTAATGGGAATAAATATAAAAAATAAACCGTTTGAGCAATTCCATTTTCAAGAACTTCCAATTTCAAAATATTTATAAACTTTTTTTGCAACAAAGCCAAAAGTAATTTTTTAATAGATTTTCTGTCAATCTAAAAACAAGAAAAAATTTTTTTTTAATTTAAAAAAATCCAAAACCGAAAATTGATATCCCTCATTTTGTTCAAGAAAAGTAATATATGTTTGTAGACGTATATTGGTTAATACAGCTTTTACATCTTTTAAATATTCAAGAATTTGAATTAATCTTTTTAAAGTAATGTCAGTAATGCGAAGTGTGTCTAAATAATGAATTTAAAAATTAGACAATTTTAAGAAACTTTCAAAATAATTCCCAGGGAAATTGGAAATTAATTTAATTCGAAAAATTTGGACAGTAGCAAATGCTAAACAACAAACAGAAATAATGTAAAACAGCAGAATCCAAATTTTTCTTGGGTTTTACTCATTGCCATGGTTAGATAATATTGAAACGCCTATTTTTAGCACCTCATAAAAGGCGAAAGAAACAGGCCAAATTAATTAATTCATACAAGTTTTGGACACGATCAAAAGTTGGCCTGTTTTCTTTCCTTTTTATTTATTAAATATATTTGTTAAATAAAAAGTTAAAAAGAAGGCCTTCGTTTTAATTGGTGAACCGGCATACCCCAAGGGTGGGTTTCCACTCTTGGAGCCCAACGCCGACTAGTTCTTGTAAAAACTAAGATAAATATAATACCCATACTTAAAAAACTTAATTTAGTCGGAAATAGGCCAGGAACCTTCAAAAAATAAAATCTCGCCATTTTTATAATTTTCAGGAGTGAAATATTTTCAAGTAGAGCTTCAAAGGTTTACAAGAAAAAATTGAAAATTACTTAAATTGTATCCAGGAAATTTCAGTAAATCGCCAAACCGAAAAGGGCAATCCACGCCAGTCAATTCCTTGAAACGTTGGCTATATTTAACATATAATTCACCTCCAGCCTCATTTTGGGCACATTTAAAAAAATATCTAAAATTAAAAATGAACAAAATTTATAAAATTTTAACAACTTTTTGACTCTAAAACGTCCTTCCGTCTTTTGAAATTCTCCAAAATATTTTTCTCGATTTCTCACAGTGCTGTGTATTGAAGTAGAGACAAGTCTATTCCCAGGTTTTGTGTCAGCATCAATTCCCAAACGAGAAGAAATTTCATATCTATCAATTCCTTCCATCCCCGCTTGCACAATCCAGGAAGCAACAACATCATTTTGTGGACGATAAAAATGTGCTAGAGAAAATTTGTCTGGATCATAAGGAAGGTAGGGGCTTTCTAAAAAGAAATTTTATTCGAAAAATGTTTAAAAAACAAACTTTCTTGTTCCCGACTTTGTCCAGTTTCATCCAAATTATTGCTAAATTCAAGAGGGATATCAGCACTTTCATTAATTGATTCAACATGTATTAAATTCATTTTCTAAAGATTGAAAAAAATCCTAAAAAATTTTTAATCGAAGGATACGATAAAAAAATGAATCAACAACCAAAATGAATCAATAAGAAATTAAAATATAAATTAAAATACGAAAATAAAAAAATAAATCATTTTTATTTGAAAATCGAAAAAAAAATCAGATTGAGAATCATTTCCTTGAAAAATATTCCATTTTCTTAATTGTTTCAACCAAAAATAATTAAATTTATTCCTCACTGAAAAGTTTTGTATCCATAAACATTCAATTAACTAGATATAATTAAAGTTTAGCTTTTTTAGATTTTAAGGTACTTATGGAGGTTGTATCCGCTGAAAAATTCTACTTCCCCTTAAGATGTACAAAATAGTCAACTTTCTCCTTCATCAATTTACTCGATTTTTCTGATACATTTCAAGAGAGCCTTAATTATTACCAAAAAAATAGTATTATTTTATTAATAAAGAAAAATTAATTTTTTTCGAATTTCATCAAATATAAATTAACAAATAAATATTTTATGTTTCAGACATGGGTGGGGGGCTAACTCGAGGAATTCAAAATCACGGAACGACCAACTCACAGATGTACATATTAAGGGAAAATAGTATTACTCCTTACCCCAAAAATAAATATCCCACTAATTATATTCTATAAATATGTTCTTCCTTCTTCTTCAAACATTCTGATCAAATCGTGCATTTTGCTCCATTGCTGCTTACATTAATCCATTCCAGAATTAATCCAATCCATTCCAGAATGGATTAATGTAAGCAGCAATGGAGCAAAATGCACGATTTGATCAGAATGTTTGAAGAAGAAGGAAGAACATATTTATAGAATATAATTAGTGGGATATTTATTTTTGGGGTAAGGAGTAATACTATTTTCCCTTAATATGTACATCTGTGAGTTGGTCGTTCCGTGATTTTGAATTCCTCGAGTTAGCCCCCCACCCATGTCTGAAACATAAAATATTTATTTGTTAATTTATATTTGATGAAATTCGAAAAAAATTAATTTTTCTTTATTAATAAAATAATACTATTTTTTTGGTAATAATTAAGGCTCTCTTGAAATGTATCAGAAAAATCGAGTAAATTGATGAAGGAGAAAGTTGACTATTTTGTACATCTTAAGGGGAAGTAGAATTTTTCAGCGGATACAACCTCCATAAGTACCTTAAAATCTAAAAAAGCTAAACTTTAATTATATTTAGTTAATTGAATGTCTATGGATACAAAAATTTTCAATGAGGAATAAATTTAATTATTTTTGGTTGAAACAATTAAGAAAATGGAATATTTTTCAAGGAAATGATTCTCAATCCAAAATTTTTTAAAACAATTTTTAAGTTAACAAATAAATAAATAAATAAATAAATGAAGAACCTGCAACATTTTATAGCTCAAAAAATAAAAGGAGATTCGAAAGAATTTTTGAATCAAAAATAAATTATCAAATAAATTATCACCAGGCACTTCAAAAATATGTCACTCATTTAGCCATTCAACATCATTTTTGCTAATCAGAAACAGAAAATATACGCATATAGGCTGAAAATTAAAAAAAAATAATTTTAAGAAATATTTACAAAAATTTAGTGGTAATAGTTACCCGTCTTTTCTTATTTGCCAAAATTCGGAAGTCTGACCATTATGTACATTATCAAGAAAGAAAAAAGGCACAACACAAACTTAACTATTACCAATCTAGTTTTTAAATTAAAGAGAGACCGAATATAGCCTAATTACAGAGAAGAACAAATTAAGAGAACTTAGAGATAATCAAGAATAAAATGACCGAAAAGATTGAAAAATAGCTTAAATTAGATCAAAAGACCCTTTAAATAAACCTTCAATTTGTTCTCCGATAATATCATGTTCAAGTATACCAATACCATGATTCTCGCAATATCGACGTAATTGGTGGTTGTTCTCTCTCAAATTCTTAAAAATAAAACAAATTAAAAAAATTAAAAAACCAAACCCGAACAATATCATCCAAATCCCTTTGTTCTTCGGCCATAATCAATCGAGCTCTAGTTGGATCAATAAGACGGAGATCGTAAATACCAAGAGGAGGTTCAGTCCCAGATGCTACAGAACAAGCTGGAGCCTTAAAATTAAAAAAATTCTTTTTTGATGCTTGATGGTCAGTTTATAAGATATGAGAGAAAAGTGTTAATTTCTAAAATATTCATACCCGGACAAAAGTTAACAATTTTTCACTCAAAAATATATAAAAAACTAACCTCTTCAGCCAAATCTTCACGAGATTGTTCAATATTATTATCCATATGAATTGGAGTAGCTCTAGCACCAACCTTTAATTTAAAGATAATTTTAAATTATACTAGACGTGTTGGTGTCATTTCTAACGAACTTTTCCCCGTTCTTTGCCCTACCTACTGGTCTAGGTTACCTCACAAATACCAAAGTAAATTTAAAATTAAATAAAAATAAATAAAAAAACCTTCGGAACATCATCTTGTAACGGAACATCATTTTGTCCCATAACATGATTTTGCACTTCCTCCATTAAAGGTGGTTGCTGATTCTCCTGTTGTGGCTGTTCCGTCGGTTGTTGATCTATTTGTTCAGGCTCAGGTTGAGAATATTGATTTCCACCAGGTTGACGAGAATGAGAGCGTGAACGAGAACGCGAAAGAGAACGGCGAAATCCGGTAATGTGCAAATTCAAATGGTTTTTAAGAGACTGTTCAGTGTTTGTGCCAAAGTTACAATCAGAATGACTAAAAAATTTTTAGAGTTTCAGAGCCAAAACAATTCAAGATAAAATTGAATTTCGTATACCCTCTCCTTTTCCTTCCTCAAAATATTAAAAAATGGTCAGTTAGTTCTTTGGGCCAAGATACAGACAAAACCCTGCACAAAGCAAAGGGGTTCGCACAAGCGTCTCGCCGACACCAATAAGATTACTTTATGTATTTTCGGGGGTAACTCGGCATAAAGTTAAGACAGGGGGTTGATTTTGGTGTCATTCGGCCTAGCTCGACAAGTTCTATAACCTGACTGACTGACTATTTTTTATATTTTAAGGAAGAAAAAGGAGGGGGTATACGAAATTCAATTTTGCCGAAAAGATAGTAGACTAAAAAAGCCATATAGGAAAGAATGAAACTATAACAAAAAAATAAGAAAACAAACTGGCAACGAAAAGCAGTTCCTCGTTCATCCGCTGAATGCACTTGACCTTGATGTCTATTCACACCTGCTTGTGACTGGAAGAATCGTGGACAGAGACTGCACGGAAAAGTTCGAATTGTTCTGCATTCTTTGAGATGAATGGGCATCTGACAGAAATAAATTTTTTTAACATGAATTCAATTTAAAACAAACTCTGGCATAAGGAAGAACCATATTACAAATTTCACATTGAACTTTGACACGCTCATCCATTTTTGAAATAAATTAGAAGTAGAAAAGTGAAATATAAATAAAATATCTGAAGAATAATAAAATATTTAAAAAAGGTGGGTCAGCCCAAAACAGCCATAATATTATTTTCTGGCCCAAAGATTTCTGGCCCTTATCAATTTAAAGGGCAATCACTTTACTCAATGAGACTAATCGTTTAATACTAAATTTGTAAAGATTTGTAATTCTTGAAGCAAGTTTTGAGTTGTTATGGCCGCGCGGTGTTTTGGAGGTGCCCTGTAGTTTCGTCAGAGGTTAGTTTCGTCAGAGGACATTTTCGTCAGAATCAGTTTCGTCAGAGGCCTTTTTCGTCAGAAAACAGATTCGTCAGAGGGTTGTTTCGTCAGTGATAAGTTTCGTCAGAAGTACTTTTCGTCAGTAAGGCTCCCTTCTTAAAAATGTAATTAAACGGCGGTATTATGACTTATACTAGGTTATTTGTTTCTGTATCGATTTGGACATATAAGGATAAAGAGCTCTAAAAACAGCGTCGAATTAGTTGTGGATGAAGTTTATCTGACATTCCGGGCCAAGTTTCAGACTCCTGAATATTGAAAAATGGTGTAGTGAAGCTCAGTTCGTCGAACCGATTCAACTTATCGAGTTGAGTCGGTTGAGCTATCATTTATAAAATAGAATTTTTAATCCCAAAAATCAGCTTTTTTAAGCTTTTTCGAATGACACTTCATTTCTTCAAATAGATCCAGAAACAAAACACCTATTATAAGTCAAAAACCGCCGTGTAATTAGATTTTTAAAAAGGGAGCCTTACTGACGAAAAGTACTTTTGACGAAACTTATCTCTGACGAAACAACCCTCTGACGAATCTGTTTTCTGACGAAAAAGGCCTCTGACGAAACTGATTCTGACGAAAATGTCCTCTGACGTAACTAACCACTGACGAAACTACCGGACACGGTTTTGGACATGGCCCTGGAAAAATTTCCCAAATTATCACTCATTTTTTTCTCTCCTCTCTCATTATTTTAATACTCTCTCTATCGACAGAATGCCAAAAAATAAATGCCAAAAAAAGAACAACAAACAAAATACGAATATGAATTTCCTAAAATTGTAAAGCATATAGCTATTTAATTCCTAATACTATGCAGTAGGAGGTGTGGTGTACTTCGTCGTCATTGGAATCTAGGTCCTACATAAAGATTTTCCATTTATTCTTTTTCGTACACTTCGTCTTCATTGGAATCTAGGTCCTACATAAAGATTTTCCATTTATTCTTTTTCGTACACTTCGTCTTCATTGGAATCTAGGTCCTACATAAAGATTTTCCATTTATTCTTTTTCGTACACTTCGTCTTCATTGGAATCTAGGTCCTACATAAAGATTTTCCATTTATTCTTTTTCGTACACTTCGTCTTCATTGGAATCTAGGTCCTACATAAAGATTTTCCATTTATTCTTTTTCGTACACTTCGTCTTCATTGGAATCTAGGTCCTACATAAAGATTTTCCATTTATTCTTTTTCGTACACTTCGTCTTCATTGGAATCTAGGTCCTACATAAAGATTTTCCATTTATTCTTTTTCGTACACTTCGTCTTCATTGGAATCTAGGTCCTACATAAAGATTTTCCATTTATTCTTTTTCGTACACTTCATCTTCATTGGAATCTAGGTCCTACATAAAGATTTTCCATTTATTCTTTTTCGTACACTTCGTCTTCATTGGAATCTAGGTCCTACATAAAGATTTTCCATTTATTCTTTTTCGTACACTTCGTCTTCATTGGAATCTAGGTCCTACATAAAGATTTTCCATTTATTCTTTTTCGTACACTTCGTCTTCATTGGAATCTAAAACCCGGATTTGGGACCCGGACTCCGGCAAATCCGGCCGGAGTCCGGGCCGGTCACTACAAATTATCACTCATTTTTTTCTTTCCTCTTTCATAATTTTAACATTCTCTGTCGACAGAATGCCAAAAATATATGTAAATTGAAAAACAAAAAAATAAGAATTTGAATTTCATAAAATTATAAAGCACATAGCCATTTAATTCCTAATTGTTGTGTATGGGCGTCAGCCCTTAAAGTGTTTACTATAAAAGCCAGCCATTAGTTAATTCTGAGTCTCTTCACCAGTCCATTCTTCCTACCACAACTTCATTGTATTTCGTTCGTGTGATAAAGTATCTGTTACATTTCTCTACGTAAGCGGGGTCGTAACAATTGGCGCGGTCGCAAACGAGTTTCGATAACAGCTGCTGTAGAAGTCAACTATCGTCAACAATCGTCAAAAGCTTCAAAAGGCAGTCGACAACAACAACAAACTTTTAGCGACAAACGATCGACAACTGCACCAAGTAGTAAAAGTCGACAAAGGATCGACAGGAAAAAAGTGATTTCTAGTAAAAGTACAAGTGAATAAAGTCTAGAGAACTTTAGTGTTAGTCGACAAACGATCGACAAGAAAATTAGTGTTAGTAAATAGTAGTTGACAGTGCAGTTGAGTTGAATTCAGTGAAAGTCACTGAAGTAAATAGTTAAAAAGAAAAGCAGTAACAAGATCCTTAATTGGATCCTCTGAGTCTACAATAAACGCAGTGACAAGATCAAATAATTGATCCTCTGAGCCTGCGATAGATAAAAGTAAAGAAAGTAAGTAAATAAAAAGAAAGTAAAACAAACAGTGACAAGATCAAAAAGTGATCCTCTGAGCCTGTAAATGAGTGCCATTAGTAGTAGCAGCAACAAGGATGGATGCTATGGGAACAAACCTAAGATGAAAGAAGTCAAAGACGACAACAAAATGTAGACGTAGATGAGTCAAAAATATAGATGAACATATAAATATAAATGTGATAATATTGTTAATTGTATTTTGTTTGTTCATATTGCCCCATTTCCCTAAAATATGTTGTATGTATTTATTTTGTTGCTGGCTGGCAAAAAGTGTAAGTATATTGTAAAGCTTCGGCTTTAAGTAAAACCCGAACCTTTTTTCAAGGGGGGAGGTGTTGTGTATGGGCGTCAGCCCTTAAAGTGTTTACTATAAAAGCCAGCCATTAGTTAATTCTGAGTCTCTTCACCAGTCCATTCTTCCTACCACAACTTCATTGTATTTCGTTCGTGTGATAAAGTATCTGTTACATTCCTCTACGTAAGCGGGGTCGTAACACTTATAATGTGAAGTATGCGGTGGGGTGTAATGGATAACACGTAAAAAGCAGCCCACAGCTGTACTTTACCACTACATTCTAGCATTTTCATTATAGGGGCGTTAAATGTACATATTAAATAATCACTTTTTATACCCTTCTAATTTAACCTTTACAAATTTTTATTTATTTACAATATTGCAAAAAGACTAAAAAAAGTTTTAGTTCCATATAAACGAATCAAATATTTCTTTTAAAATTTCCTTCCTTCGAAAACTACTTTCATTATAAAAAAGATATTCTAGCCAGCCCTTTAAATATTCTCAAAATTAAAAAAATTTTCATTTACCAGAATACATTCCTTCTTTAAAACACTTAATTCATTCGCTGTTCTACATTTTTCCATTTCTTCATCTCTTAAATTTACATTTTCTCCATAAATAAATTTTTTGTTTTTATTTTTGCTATCTACATGTAAAGCTATTTGTAAAGATAACCCTAACTTTAAAGAAAAAAATTAATTGGAAAAAAATAAAGACTTCTAAACAAATGAAGGAGTCGAAGATTCTTGATTATTGTTATTCAAGTAAGAGAAGACTGGGCCGCCTGAATCGCCCTTTAAAAAAAGATAAAATTAGAATAAAGGTGAATAAAAGGAGAATTTCTGGTTTATCTCTAGATATATTTAGAGGGTATAATTGAGAGGGATAGGGAAGGATAATTGAGAGGGAAGGATATTGAGAAGCAGGGATGTGCAGAAGCGGATTTTATAAAACGAAAGACGGAAGGCGAAAGTCCAAAAAGGCGGAATTTTGGCTGAAGGCGAAATGGCACACCCCTGCTAAGAAGGCATAATTCAGAGATGTTTCTGCTAAATTTATACTAAGGTTGGACACAACTAGTTATTAACCGGTATCCCCTATTTTTGTTAATCCTAATTTAAGAAAGCCAATTTTGGTTTTAGAGTTTTAATTAAACATTAGTTTTATTTTGAGGGAATTTTTTACAATCACTCTTCTTCAAAAAAACTGTTAATTTTTATTTAGGGTTTAGAAAACCATGTCCGGATATTTGGGGAAAGGAAAATTGGATAGTGGACGATTGGGGAGAGGGGGCCATTGTCGTGTTCAATCCTAATTTTTTACCAAACACGATCTTGCAGCTCCAGAGAAGTAAAAATAAATTGCACATTCTGAAGAGTTTTCTTCTTCAATTAATTTGATTGGAACTTTGTGCGGCTCTTTTGGCAATTTTCGAACTTTAAAAAGCTAAATTTAGTTGTAGTTTAAATTAAAAATTAAATAGAATATTCGTCTCTTCTCACAAATTTATGTAGCCATTTTTATCTCCCTCACTTATTCTGTTCCCTTCCAGTTATTACTACTAGAGATCGAGCTGGACCTGGACCAAGGCCTGGGTTTTTCTTGTACCTAGAGTCCAGGTCCAGGCATTTTTTGACCTTCCTGGGTTTTTCTGGGCCTGGGTTTTTCTTGGACTACAGGCCCAGGATCCAGTCCAGGACAAGAAATCAAACCTAGAGTCCAGGAACAGGTCCAGGATTTTCAAAAATCTCGATCTCTAATTAACACTGTTTTTTTAATAAATTTTACAAAGGAAAGTGCCTGGGGTGTCCGTGGGACTTTGGGATGAAATTTTGCAGACAGGTAGGCAGACAGGAAGGTCCATTAAATCCCAAATAAAATAAGCTTTGCAATGTTTTTCTTGTATTCGTAGAGTTTTAAAAGTTTATGAGATAAGAGAGAGAATATTACATATTTACTCCTTCATACATTCATTTATTCCATAACCAAAAGCAAATGTTTCTTCGCTTTCTTTCGTTGGAATATTGTAAGGCTGTTCGAATTCATCAACATTAAAAGTAGGGGTATTTAAAATAATTAAAGCCATATCATCCCAATCTTCTCCAAATTTAATCTAAAATATTTCCACTACCTTTAAAAGTCTTAATTTAATTAGTTACAAAATTTTTTCGCATTGCATATTCTCTCGAATAATAAAATTGATTGGCAATTTTAAGACGTATTAAAGTTGCAAATCTATCAACGGAAGGAGAATAATTTTTAGAAATATTTAAACCCACCCAAAATCTTTTCTGAAAAGACAATGTGCTACTGTCAACACTAACCTGTTGGTTATTAATGTGCCGCTACACAGGTGTCTGACTTTTCTATTTAAAAATTTTTAGTTAAAAAAATTTTAAATTTTAAACCCCTTCCCCTCCCCATAGAATACCAAAACTTAAGTCTTTTTAATATATTCTCTTAAAGAGAAAACTAAAAAAATTCGCCTTGGGAATACTCAAAAAATAAGTTTCCATTCCTAAGCAGCTTTATTTTCTCTTGAACTACCCAGCAATTACTGTAATTCCTATTAATTTCCATAGGGGCAGCATGAGGATAAATCTCCGTTCCATATGCTAAAAAATTTCCTATACATCCACCACTGTGAAAACAGCCCTTAAACGAACCCTATAAAATACCCGGGTACACCCCAACCTACCGCCGAGGCTATAACTTTGTTCAAAATTGTCGAATCTGAGACAACTTGATATGGTTGGATTCAGTTCGTCGAGGCGTATCGAATCATTCCAAGGCGTCCCGGATTCGATAATTCTGAAAGAAGTTATAGCTCTGTGGTAAGTTGGGCTGCGACCCACTCCAAAGAATTTTTTTCCAAATTTTCAAATATTTTTTTTTATTTAAAAAAATTCTCAAAAATTTTAATACGTGAAATTCGACTCAATTTGAACTACATATTTAGCTTCTTGTATAGTTACTGGATGATTTGAAGAGTAAAGAGAAGCGAAAGATAAAGTAAATTGACAAAAAATAAAAAGAAATATTTTCATTTTTTTAAATAAATTTGTTGACAGGTAAAATGTCAGCAATAGAATAAAATGAGAATTTAAATTAAATGAATCAGAGAATTTAAAATATGAATCAACTGTAGTTAAAAATAGATGAAAAAATTATAATTTTAAATTTAATATTTTCTAATTTCTGTTTTTTCCCCTCAATAGGTTTAGAAATAAAAATATTCAAACACTTGGATTCATCACGTTCCAGCAATTTAGGCTTTTCAATCGACATCAAGAATAGGGTTGTTCCCTGACGGGGGAGGGGGAGGGCCACGGGGAAAATTTTCGGGGAGGCAGCGCCACGGGGAGGACGGGACGGGGAACAACCCTAATCGAGAAATAATTAAAAATTGAGTAATAATACAATCATTAATTTAAAAAAAAACAAAATTAAATTAAAAATAGCTGTTTTTGTTAATTTTCAAAAAAATTTCTTCTTATAAAAAATACAATAAAATCCACTTCTACAAAAATATAGGAATAGGGAAATAACAGAACCGGATCCAACCCCAACCAGAAACAAACCGAAAAAATAACAATGTAAACACAAAAGTGAAACGTTCATGCATGTATTGTAGGGGATCCAGATATTTTTATTTACATTTATTGTGGATTTATTTGTGAAGAAGAACGCTTAAAAACAGCATTTCGATATGGGGTGTTTGTTAAAATACAAATAATTGGGTTAAATACAGGTATTAAATGAAAGGAAATGTAAATCATTATTCGAATAATATTTGTTGTATTGTTGTTAGTTTTTGAATAAATTGTAAGAAATAGAATTCCACCCTGGTTAATAAACGGTACAACAGCCTGTTTAAAACAAAAAATTTTACTGTCAAAGGAAAAGGGCAGAGGTGTTATTTATTAGTCCTAATCAGGCCCAATCAAAATGGGATGACATTAGGTACCTACCCAGAGTGGGGTCTGTCAATTTATAATTTTTAAATTAATCTGTCAATTTTTAAATACCCTGCTAAACGATGCCATGTCTAAAGCATTGACGGGTCTAAATGGTGTAGACTATGGGCTAATTTATCACTTTTTTAATGTAATAAAGCCAAAATCTTGAGTGGACGTATAGTTATGACGCGCACTGTATAATTAATCTGAAAGTTAACTTATTTCTTTTTTTAAACCAGCTTAAGAATAAATATGTAGCTAAATGGGTTTGATAGCTTTAAAATTTAGTTACGTTGGGGAAGCGTTTGTTTATAATTGGAGGCACGTCCATGGATGAAAGCCTGCGGCTTTAAAACTGTGCTAGGTTTATTTTTTGCTTGGAGATTTACTACGTTACATAAATGTTTTAGTTTATTTAGAATCGTTTTTTTGAAATTAGAAGAGCACCCTTCCTTTTAGATGGACGTCGCGTCGGTCCCTTCTTCAGATGGGAGGTGCTTCGTTCCATTGTTTAGATGGGCATCGCGTCGGGCCCTTACTTTTAAATGCGCGCGTCAAGCTATTTCGTGCCTTCGGCCCTCCCTCCTCCCCCCCCCCCCCCCCACCTTTGTGACCCATTTTTCCAATTTGGGTCACTTCGGGCCCTCGTCCCCCCTCTTCACCACCGCTATCTCTTCCCGTTCACGAGATAGCCAGGTCCCAGAGGTCGTTTGAACAATGAACAATTTTTCCCTCAGATCAAAATTGCGGGAGCCTTAATTTTTTCGCATGAAACTCAAAACTATTATATATACATATAATATGTATAATAATAAGGAAAAGTCCACAGATGAGAAAATACAACCCTATATATAATTTGTGAATGAAAGAATGGATCTTGAAAATTGTCACCCGGCTTGCTTTTATAGTAAAATGATTTGGGGAGTGAGATATGCACCCCCTATTTTTCTGTGTTTTTCAAGTTGAAATTGGAATGTGACGTAAATAGTACTTATCGTAGTATTGAATAATTTTTAAAATATTTTTACCCCCAGAAATAGATATTTTTTGCTTAATTTTGAATTTTTTCGTTTGTACTTTTCACCTATTTTGAGAAATTTTAAAAATAAATTAGGGTTTGACCCCGACCCCGTACCCCGACCCCGTTCCCGAACGATTTTTTCACGATTCTCCCCGACCCGAACCCCGCTTCGAAAAAAAGTGAAAACCCCGTACCCCGACCCGAAAAGTTTCGGGGTTATCGGGGGTTTTATATACCAAAAAATGCCATTTTTGGGAGAATTTTAAGAGAATAATTTTAAAAATTTACTTCCAATTTACTTTGCCTTTATTATTTTTGAAAGAAAAATAAAAGAAATATCAAAATTCTTTTTCCTGCTATATCAAGAGACTTGTGGTTGAGTGGCTTAGTTGTTCCAAATAAGCTGGGCTCGTTTGTTTTGGGATTTTTCTTTACAAAATCAAGAACTTAATTTTAATTTAAAATGTAAATCTTATTTTTAAATATTATAGTAAAGCAGCTGGGCTATAGCTATTTCTCTCCTTTAGCTAGAGCAAAAGGTTATTCGGCGGCTGGGAGCGAACCAGCATCTTCAGTAGACCGGACTGATGTGTTAGCCATTACACCACGCCGCCTACTGCTCAGCCTTAGGAAATTAATAGCTATATGCTTTACACCTCCATCCCCAGGGAAGACTGTCCCTAGTCTTCTTATCTGCCCTCTTCCCGCTTTTTCTCTCACCTGCGGGGTAGCTTAATCATCGCCTTCTCTGGCGGAATTTCCTTTTCTCTAACCCAGGGCCTATGGGATGGATCGTCATTCGTTCAGCGTTCGCTGAACCATCCGGTGCTACCAGTAAAGCAGCTGGGCTATAGCTATTTCTCTCCTTTAGCTAGAGCAAAAGGTTATTCGGCGGCTGGGAGCGAACCAGCATCTTCAGTAGACCGGACTGATGTGTTAGCCATTACACCACGCCGCCTACTGCTCAGCCTTAGGAAATTAATAGCTATATGCTTTACATTATCAACTATAAAAAACAATGTAAAGATTTTTTGTTTAGCTAAAATTTCAAAAATTTTCTTGGTCAGCGCTAAAATAAACTAAGACATCCGGCTTTTTGACCAAAAAAATTTTAAAAATTTTCGCCTGCGGCGCAAAAAAACGAAAAAATCTGACTTCTTCGCCTTATAAAATTCTCAAAATTTTGCCTGCGGCGCAGAAAAGAAAGAGTTACCCTGATATGCTCCAAATTCTTAATCACTCGATAGCCCTTAAATCAATGATATCCCTTGAAACTACCCTTAGTCCCTACAAATCCTCTTATATCCCCAGATATCCGCTTTAATCCCTCCAAATCCTCCTTAATCACCTCCAGATCCAATTAATCACTCCAATTTCTCTTATTTCCATTTAATCCCACCTTATTCTCATTAATTTGTGAAAATAGAACGAAAATAAAATAGAACGAAAATATATACCATATTTTGCTCCCCCGACCCGAACCCCGCCCCGAAACAATTCGAATACCCCGTACCCCGACATACCCGCCCCCGAGCGTTCGGGGTCAAACCCTAAAATAAATCATACCAAAATAATCAAAACTTTTGTTAAAAGTTTATTCAATCTTTTTAAATTTCCATCAAGATTAGTGTTTAAATCGACATATCTAACCATTTTAAATCCACAAATAAATATTATTAAATATGCGGATATCTCAATTAAAGCTGATGGTAATAGTGACAAAGCATTCACCTTTTTTAAATAATATTTTAAAAAATATAAATTTATTCTTTTTAAATTAACCGTTTCCATTTTATATTGAATAAATGGCAATGTTTTGTTAATATTATCAAAATATTTAATACTTCCATTAGAATATGGCATTGAAAAGAAAATTAAATCCAAAAAATAAAATATCTGCACAAATAAAAGAATGGACAACATAAATAGATAACGACAAAAGCTAATCTTCATATTTCTAATATGTAAATATTTTAGGTATATTTCAATTTATTTACCTATTCAAAACTAAATATCTATAAATAAATTGAACACACAATCCATGTAAATTTAAATCATGAATATATAGCCAAAGTAAAATAACAATATAACATATAAACGGATCAAAATTTTTTTTCATTAAACTAAGCAAAATTCCATCAGAAAAAATTGTAATCATATTCCCTTCCGCATCAAGTATATAAAACTATAAATAATTTAAAAAATGATTTAAAATAGGGTTCAAGTGGGATCGGGATCAGAATCGGGGTTTGAGAATAGGGTTGTCGGTTTCACCAAATTCATCGGTTAACCGAAACCGAAACGACAAACCGAACCGAAACTTTCGGTTAACCGAAACCGAACCGAAAAACCGAACCGAAAATTTCGGTTAACCGAAACCGAACCGAAGCCTTCGGTTAACCGAAACCGAACCGAAAATTTTTTCGAGGGTTAAGGAGTTATTAAGGATTAGCGGTGGTGTATAAGTGGATTTGTTGGATATAAGAGGTTTGATATCGAGTAATCAAAGGAGTTCTTAATTGATCAAGGGAGATTTAAGTGATAACAGAGGAGGATCACGCCTAAATAAGGATATCAGCGGATTCGAAGGGATATAGGAGAGAATAAGAGGGAAGTCGAGGATATCAATGATATCATTTTCACTAGGATATCATTCTCACTTTTACAGCGCCGCAGGCGAAAATTTTGAGAATTTCTGAAGGCCATGTGGGAAAAGTCAAGTTTTGTAGGGCCAAATCTTCATATGTATATCCAATCCCTTATATCTACAGTACGCCATATGATCCTTCGATATTACACCCAAATCTCTCGATATTACCTATGACCCCATGAAATCACACGATATCACTCAAAATGCTATTGAATCCATCCAAATCCTCCGATATACCATTCAACTTCCTTTTACAGCGCCGGAGGCGAAAATTTTTAGATTTTTGGAAGGCCAACTGGTGAACCTTCGGTTAACCGAAACCGAACCGACAAACCGAACCGAAACTTTCGGTTAACCGAAACCGAACCGACAAACCGAATCGAAAATCTTCGGTTTTTCTGTTCGGTTCGGTTCGGTTTGAAACCGACAACCCTATTTGAGAATAGTAAACCGATTCTGAATCATTATTAGAGATCGGACTGTACCGTACTACGGCCGTATTTTTAGGTATTTATCGGCATTCCGTATCGGTAGTACGGTACGGAATACGATATCGATGAAAAATTATCGGTATTTGTCGGTATTACGGTACGGAACAAAATTCCGTTCCTAAATCATTATTACGGGATTCCGTGAGAGCGATTCTCCGACTCTACAAAAAATTACAAATAAATTCTAAGTTCGTTATTACCGTTTGTAAAAACAATTGAACAATCAACATAAAAATATCCAAAACACAACTTTGTATCAGAATTAGACTGTGTGTTTTCATTTCTTTTGGTGTTTTAAAAATAATTAAAACAATCAGAAGAATATTTAAAGGAAAACCAATTAATAAACAAACAAAATAATCTAATTTAAATAAAATATCAAGTATATCCAAGGACATTTTTTGAATTTTTTAATTTTAAAAGTTGTATAATAAAAGTAATAATTTATTATTAAATAGTTTCTTTAATTATAAAGTACAAAAAGTTGTTTATCATTCTTAAAAATTTTATTTATCATGTCTATAAAAATACAAAAAATATTTGTGAGAAAATTTTGTTTATTTAAAATTAACAAATAAACTTCAAGAAAAATTTTTGCCGGCGGCTTGACAATTGGATTTTTTCTAATAAGGCCTTACAAAATTTTCAAATTTTTCGCCCCCGGCGGTGTATTTGGGGATATCAAGTGATTTTTTTTATTATAAAGTACAAATTATTTAGTCTTAATCTCTCAGTCTCGGTTCGGGACTCGGTCAAGCTGTCAACCAATCATTTGATAATTTGAAGAAAATGAAGGGAAAGAAAAACAGCAAAAAATGTCTTTTGACAATTCCTTTGTGGGCAGTACATATTTGCGAAAAGAATGAAGCTGAACATTACCGAATAAGTTGGCAACATTAAAAAATAAAGTGTACTTTCTTTAATTTTAAAAAGTTCTTTAAAAGTTAAAGAAATAATTAATGTAAATATTTATTAAAAAGTTTCACTTTTTCTAAATACAAAAAATATTTGTGAGAAATTTTTTCTTAAATTTATAGTACAATTTTAATGCTTCGTTAAATTTTGTTTGAAAAAATTGGGGATATAGTGTATGTAGTGTACCGTTGGTAAAAGTTTTGGTTGAGAGAAGAAATTAAAAAGTATACTTTTTTCCATGGTGACCATAAGGAGCTAAAACAAACGATCGTAACACATTTAGAGAGTTTTAAATAAATAGAAAAGTTGAAAAATAAAAAACCAACGTCACAGTCTGAGCTTTATAAAATAGATATTATATCTTGCTGGCAAGATGTTTGCCTTTAATTAAAGTTTTTTAACAATGGACATTTAGCGATTATTTTGTTTGTTTATTAATTGGGTTTCCTTTAAATATTATTCTGATTGTTTTTAAAACATCAAAAGAATGAAAATAGGAATGTGCCACGAACACTCGGGGGCGGGTGTGTCGGGGTACGGGATTTTGGAGTTGTTTCGAGGTCATATAGAAGGCTAATTATTGTAAAATATTTCTATTTGTATTTTTTTTAGATTAAAAATTACAGATGATACCCGGATCTGGCTCAAAATACCCTGATCAAAACCAACGGATCCCGAAAATCCGGTTGAGATCCAGTCTAATTTAAATAAAATATCAAGTATATCCAAGGACATTTTTTTGATTATTTTAATTTTAAAAGTTGTGTAATATGTAAAAGTAATTATTAAATAGTTTATTTAATTATTAAGTACAAAAAGTTGTTTATCAATTTTAAAAATTTTATTTACCATGTCTTTAAAAATACAAAAAATATTTGTGAGAAAATTTTGTTTATTTTAATTTGATAAATGAGATTTTATTAGATTGAATCATGACTGAGAAAATTGTTGAAATTTTAAAAAATAATAAAAAAAATTTTCTCTCAATTTCCCAATTCTTAGAATTTAAATTCTTAAGAAGCGAACTTTCATGAAAACAGGCAATTTTAATTTTGTAATAGTGTAAGGATGATTCACCTAGCAACATTTAAAATGCTTAGGCGGGGGTTAAACGATCTAAAAAGGGAAAAAGAAAGTATCGATGCCAAGGTATCAATTTAGAAAATATTGGAAGAACAATCATTTTCATGTCGACATTTAGAACTGTCGAGATTAATGGGAGGACGGATATTCAAAATTTGTAGGGCCGAGATACGACCGATCGCTTAGATAGTTTTTGCCAAAATTTTATAAAAAAGAACTTTTCGAAAATTTGATAAAAAATTTTTACTAAAAAAAGAATTTATTAAAAATAGCCAAAAACAACCAAAATTAAATATTTTTAACAATAAAATTCCCCTCAACATTTTTAAAAATCCAATAAAAATTTCAAACAATTTAACTTATCTTCATAACAATATTTCCTCTCAATATTTAAATCGGTCCTTAATCATCTGGAATACTTTGAGCCGAGTTAGAATTGTGTGGATGGCGGAATATAAGCACAACCGAAACACGAATTCTCAGATCTTCTCTGGTAACAAGTCCTTCTTCGATCATTTTCTGTAATTTTTAAATTTAAAATTTCTCTTAAAAATTTAATCCTTAAAAAGGAAAAAGAAATGTAAACTGAAAAAAGGAAAGTAAATCAACAGATCTGACGACGTTAGAGCACCTTCACGTTAAAAAGGCTAAATTTTACAACCTGCTTTCCATAAACGGTCAAGATCAGGCCCGTAAACCAGGGGGTATTTGGGGCCAAAAATTTAGAGAAAAATTTTCCACTTGCCCGCCTCTCCGAAAAAACTCCAGGTTACAGGCCAGGCCAAGATAATTAGAAAGACATCAATTATACCCCAATTATGCCACAATTTTGGGTATCTAGAAACTGCGAGTTTACCTATGATTGTGAACTCACTCCTTACTTTTACAAGTTTTCCTCCCCAAACTTTTCCTGAATCAACTTTTAAAAATAGAATAGACGGGGAAATTATTCTGTATTCTAAAACCACTCCCCTTAATCAAAACAAAAAATAACCTTCTTTTTATCCAAATTAAACCAAACACCGGTAGTTGAAGTAAATGGCGGCTCAAAAGGAGTTGAGCAACCTCTTGTCTTCATCAATCCGGGAACGCCCTGATTCCAATTATGAATTTTGAAATTGAGTTCATTCACAACACAACTTCCTCGATTATTCTCATTTAAAGGCCCTTTGCATTGAACAAAAATACCCAAAGAAAGAGGAATTGTTTTCCCTTTAAACTCTTGTTGCTTTCTATAATCAACTTTCACAATCCATTTAAAGTTGTTAATTATTTGCTCTGTTGAATGAAAATTGTCTTGTTTAGTATCAAAAAGATCATTGAGGCTGAAGTCGAGTTTCATAGTAAAATTTGTTGGAGGCTCTTGAAGTGGAACTAAAAGAAAATAATATTTTAATGCCATCTTTTGAGATCTATCGGAGAATTTAGAGTTTCCCTATTATTATGAATCAGGCACGTAACCAAGGGGTAAGGGTAGTTCCGCCCTCCCCATCCAGCAATGGGGAAAAGGAAAAAATTTGGGGAAGGTTTTTTCCCCTTGGCCAATCTTCACCGAAAAAAACTCACTCCTTACTTTTACAAAGTTGTCCCTACTTACTGTGAACTTAAAAGCCTTACCAGTCTCCTCCTTCTAAAATTTTCGTATGCTAAAAATTCGGCCCAGAAAAATTTCCCCCCTCCCCTATAAAAATCCTGGTTATGGCTGTTTTGAGACCCAAAACAACGAGGTATCCCGAGGTTATAAATTTTCCCTGACCCCTACTTTAACAATGGCAAACTGAGTTTTCACATCTTCCCCTCTCTCCGACTAGAATAATAAACCTGTAAAACTATTGTTCTTCCGACCACCAAGTCCAGCATCAGCCAAATTACGTTCTCCATTGCCAACTTGATCTAAAAATAAAAAAAACAATATCTAATCAAATTTAGGAAAAATTCAAACCAATTTCACGTTCAACTTCATCAGTAACTTCCAAAGTTTCATCATCTGAAAGAGGAGCGACAACAGCACTGTTGACGTTATTGTTGCTGTGGCTGACAGACAAAGGAGAAACTTCCACATCAAAAATTGAGTTGGGCTGCGGAAGAGGCAATTGCTCTGGAGAAGGTGGCAATTGTTCTTCCGGTGTCTGAAAGTTATGGTAGGATTTATGTCTAGCAAAAGGAACTAACGAATGTTTAAAAAAGTAATATGCTTAGGGAAGATGCGGCAAAAGGGGGGGGGGAATAGCTGAAAAAATACAACTTGAAAGCCATAAGAAGCCCCAAAACAAGTCAAAAATAAAGAGAGGAGCCTCAAAAAACAGTAATGTTGTTAGATTTTAAATTAACCTCCTGATTGATATTATCCTCGCTGTTGTTCTTAACATCCTCGCGTTCCAACGGAATTTGTAATGGAGTCTCATAATTAGTTAACCCATCAGATTTGCCAGAAATTGGTGATTCAGGCGAATTTTGTTCGTCAATAGTCATTGGAGGTTCCATTGTAATCAATTTAAGATTAGCCATTAAAAGTACTTCGCGTTTTGCAAGTTCACCGTCAATACGCCGTTTCTCCTCTAATAAAGTCAAAATAGCCTTGGAAATAGAAATAATATTATTGACCGGCTCCATCCTTTTATCACTAAAAATTTTAGAAATTATCTGAAATGAAATTACTGAAATAATTTGTGAGAGAAGTCTTTTTATAGTCAAAAGAAAATTCAAATTAAAAAATGTTTTGGCATAATGTTCATTTAATTTTTTTCTCTGCAAACATGCTATTTTCATTCTACTGTCTAAACAAAAGACCGATTGTCTAAAAGACCGCTAGGTCAAAAAGGGTTAAAAGACCGAAGCGGTCATAATCACTAAAAGACTGATAAAATTCGAAGGCCAGTTGTTTTTATTTTCACAATCAGTAAATAATTAATGTTAGAACGGATAATCAAACTTTAAACGGCAATTTTTCAAGGACCCCGTCGCTTAGCTAGTGTATTTGCCAAAATTTTACAAAAAAACTTTTCGAGAATTCCTAAAAAAATTTTAATAAAAAAGAATTTATTAAAAATAGCCAAAAACAACCAAAATTAAATATTTGTAACAATAAAATTCCCCTCAACATTTTTAAAAATCCAATAAAAATTTCCACCAATTTAACTTATCTTTATAACAATATTTTCTTTTAATATTTAAATCGGTCCCTAATCATCTGGAATACTTTGAGCCGAATTAAAACTTTTTTCAGCGGCGGTCGTTCCGCTCGACATGCCCGGCTTCCTCTGCAGCGGCATTTTCCGCTGAGGCCTTATGGAAGGGTAAACAAACGATCATAACTTTGTCAACAAGTCAGATTTCGTTGATTTTGGTGTCGTTCGACTCATCTTGACGAGCTCTTCCGAATGAGCTATTGCATAGCCGAATTTTTGGCCCCAAAATCAGCTTGGTCCCCCTATGGTTTTCGATTTACTAGGGTCTGCAAATCGTGGAAAAATGGTCTTGCCGACCGTTTTAAGCACTTTTCTATTGACATTAAGTATCATCGCATCCTTTCAGACATAAACGTTTTTATGGGCTGATAAGCGATCCCTAGCCATATTTAAAAATTTTTTAAATTTGATCACCTCTTTAGAAAAAAATAATTTAAAACTTTTATATGCACAAAATGTAAAATTTAAAAGTAAAAACAATTTATGAAAAAATCTTTCTCCCAATAAATAAATATTCTCATTCAAAAACACTAACAACAAGTTTTGCCACAGATTTCACCACAACTTTAGTTAATTGAATAAACACATTAAAATAAATATTTAAATTGTTAACATTATTTTCTTCTTCTTCTTCCTCTAAACATTTTCCATTAATTTCATTTTTAATTGTCAATTTTTCTGAACACGAATACTTTTCTGTAGATTGTGAATTAAAATAAAGAGAAGAGGCTATAAAGTAAAGTCCTGCCAATATAATCCCGTAATAACCGAGTAAAAAAACAAGTCGAAATAATAATTTTGCTGGTCTAAAAAATTATTTGTTTTCAAAAAATACTCTTCTCTAGTTTTAAAGTACCTGTAAATTCCATAATAAACAAAAAGAGCAACAGATGAAAAAACAACAAAAGATGAAAGCCCCATTACAAAATAAGTGAATAAAGTTGGAAAAATTAAATGAAGCATTTTTAAAAAGATTATACTTAAAAATAAATTATCAAAAAACCTCCAAAATTGAATAAAATATATACTAAATATTAAGCAGATAAATATGTATTTTATTATAGTAAAACTTTGATAGGATATATTTAAAAGTTTAATTTAAATAAAATTACAAATGAATAGAGCTAACAATAAGTATGAAAAAAATTGAGAACATTCAAATAAAAGAAATGGTAATACAGGCGGGTGAGGGCCGTTCCGTGTTTTGGTAAGCCCGAGTTTTGTCGTTCAGTGTTGTATCCGTTCCGCGTTTTAGCCCGATACGATACAAGCAGATCTCTACCCCCAAGTTTCATAAATTATTTCTGAATTTTAGAACAAAAAATATTTGGTTTTGTGTTGGAAAAAGGGATGACCAGTTCGTTAACCCTCTAAGATCCAGAGAAATTGCGGTCCAATTTTAATTACCATTTCAAAAAAATCATTTAAAATTCAAATATTTCACAAATTTTCTTTATATCCACATTCAATTTCATATGCCTCTTTTGCATTTTTTGGAAAAAGTAATTCACAAGCTAAAATTCCAATACCTCCTTCAATTTTTTCAGATTGAGCAAAGAAATTTTTAAGTAAATAATAACCAAATTCCCATACTTTAAAATGTGGGTGTTGACTTCTATTTTCTTTTTCTGTTGAATTTTTGACATTTATATCAATTTCTTTTAGGATATTGAATAATGTTGCCTTTAAAAATTAAAAGAAAAATGAGATTTTAAAATGAAATCCCTCCCTTACAGAATATAAATATGCTGGGGATTTTAAATCAAAAGCAATTCTGTGGAAAAATTTAAGAATTGCCATGTTGACTTCTTTTGGATTTGTACCAAATTTTTTCAAACAAAAAATGTACCTGAAAAAATAAAATGAAGTTGAATTTTATTTTTAGATACCCCTTTGGAACTGAGAAAGACATTTTAAATTAAAAATGGATATACAAACCCTCGGACAATAAAATTAAAAAGACATATTTTAAATCGAGGAATATCCAGTTTTTGGGATATTTAAGTAAGAGGGTTGACTAAAATTTTGTTGAGTAGACTTTTGTTTTGTGTATCTACCTAATTTTACAACTCTCTAGTATATAAACTTTGCATTAGTACTCTTTAAACTAGAGACCGGACCGAGATGAGCTCTTGATCGAAAATCTCGGCTATCGATATCTAGGATTTTTCGAGAGCTCGATTCTCGTACGACACTCCCAGTCCGGTCTCTAATTTAAACCTCTCCAAACTCCTCCAAATTTATTCTTAAAAAACATTCTCTTACCTACCAATTTATCACCGTTGGTTTAGCCATTGACAAAACAAATTGTGGAAAATCCAATTCCGTCTCTTCCAACACTTTTCTTGTTTCTTCACTTTCTTCATCACTCAAACTCATATCAAATTCATTTATTCCCTTTTCCTCCTCCAACAAATTTTCTTCTTCATCTTCTCTTCCATAAGCCTTTTTAATTTCTTCTTCATAAATTTCTGCCTTTCCTTGCATATCTTCATGAAATATTAAATGTAATAACAACATTTCTTCTTCAATTGAATCAAAATCGTTCCCAAAAGTTCCCGTTTCCGGCCACAAAATTCTCGAATTTCTAAACATTCCAACAGCATCCTGAATACGTCCAGTACGTAAAGCAACTTGAATTTGTAAAAGTGCAAATTCTCTAAAAAGAAAAATTTTTTTCAAAATTTCTCAAAAAAATTCTACTTGAATTGTTCATCATCCACTTTAAGCAGCATATTAATTGGGCTAACATCTAAATTTGGGTTAATTTCCCCTATAAGAGTATCAGAAAGTTCTTCAGCTATTTCCATCCACATATTTGCAATTCCTTTCATTTTGACAGCTTTTTCGATCGATTTTTCTTAAAAAAGAGAATATGATTAAAAACCGAAGAAAAATTGTCCAAATAAATTCAAAAATTCGGAATTTTAATTTTCTCCACTACTGGGCATTTTAAAATTTCCAAAGCACAGAGATTTCGTTTATTTTTCAGTACTTGACAATAGGGATAGAGGATCGATCCGGCCCGGTCCGAAAGATCGAATCACGCAATGAATTTTGGCTCGAAAAAGACTCGGTAGGGCCGGCCCGATAAAAATGAGGCCCAAAAAATGACTCGAACGTCGGCCCGACTCGAAAACCTCAATCCTAGTTGACAAGCACGTAGACAGTACCAGGCACTACGTGCCTTTACTGGATATTTTTAATGGAAATAAAACACCTCCCAAAAAATTAAAAACAAACTTTCCTCCTTATCCTTCTTTTTGAGCTCTTTTCTTTGTTTCCGTTGTCGTTTCCTTTTTTGTATTCGAATAAGTGTCCCCTCCTTTATATTCTTTTCCAATAAATGAAGAAAGTAATGATTGGCAATAATTAAATCTTCAAGCATTTTTCTTGTTGCCCCACCAGGGGAAAGATGTCCAAGAATTCCAGCAGCTAATTCACGATATTCTTCAATTTGAAAAAGTTGTCGACAGAAATTGCTACATAATTCTTTTTCTTCTGGCAAAATCGGGTTGTAGGAACTTAACCTGGAAATTAAAAATTTTTTTGATTTAAAAATTGATGATGATTCTTGTACTCGATTAAATAAAATTGCCAAGTGGGCACCAGGGATGTGCTGAAACAGATCTTAAAATGCGAAAGTCCAACAAAGGCGGAATTTTGGCGAAAGGCAGAAGGCGAAATGGCACACCCCTGGTGGGCACCTATACATAGCTATTAAATTTTCTGTGAAAACTCAAAACTGAAAAAACTAAAAATTTCCACTTAAGTGATCCACTAAATGAACTTTTCATAAAACTTTACATTGCCACAATTTCTCTATAAACACTAACTGCATATTGAGAAGAAAGTGCATATTTCCGTATATTGTCCCTATCTGTTTTCATTATTTCAAAACTTTCTGTCAAAAAAGAAGTTATTTGATGGAAAAATTCAATTGAAAAAGTTGAATTAAAAAGTTGGCAAGAAATTCGAGAAAATCTAGAAAAGGCAAGCATAAAGGTGGCAAAGGTAAAATAATGAAAATCTGTTGCTTTAAGTGAAGTTTTACGGCCAGAAAATGCCTAAAGAAAAATAAAATTGATTAGATGGAAAGAATTTTATAATAACTCCATAATTTTGTTAAAAATCATTCTAAAAGCTAACAAAGGAGAGCTGTGGGGGTGTCCGTGGGACTTCACCCTATTTTAGCTGTGAAATTTTCACCATTTTCGCCCGAAGTCCCACGGACACCCCCACAGCCTCTCCTTTGTAAGAGTGAATGGAGAAAATATTCCATTAAAACAACAAAAGGGCTGAGGTTACCCAGAAATGAAATATTTACACCTGGTTCAAAAAATTTTTAATTCAACAATATGGACTTAAAAAAACCTCAAAAATGCCTAGAATTTTATAAAATTCAAAATAATACCAAATCTCTGTTTGCTTTGATTAAACGATTATATTTCCCTTCTAGAAGTAAATTTAAACAAAATTTCTTTATAGAGATCATCAAAGAAGGACTAAGTTCTTGTAAGCCTTGGGTAAAATTTTCTGAAGTATGAGAATCGTCAATTCGACGATTTTTTGGCGGCACATAAGGCTTTTTACGTCTTGAAAGCACAGCGATTGGAGGTAGATTATTTTGAGTTAAAAGTGAACTTTAAAAATAAATAAATTAATTAAAAAATTTTCGAAAAGAAAACCTAGTCATAACAAAATCTCTTTTTGTATTCAATGCATTCATTCCTTTGACGACAACTGATCCAGATAAAAAACTTCGCCGATTGGCTTTTCTAAAAAATAAAAGCCTTATAGAATTTTTTACAAAATTAGAATACGGATATTTGAAATTGTAAAATTATGAAAAACATTTTAAATCAGGCGACGCGCAAAAAAAGGGAGGCCAGTGCTTCGAAGCTCGTAACAAAATTCGTACTACATAGTACTTGGTACAAAGTACGAGCAAAAAATTGAGGCAGGTACGAAGTACGAGTACGAGCAAATTTGAAATTTCAAAGCACTGGTTTTAACTTTGAAAAAGGAAAGAACTGAATGATATAAAGAATTTTAGATCAAAGAATAAACTTTAGATAAAAATTCGTCTCAAAAATAGCATTTCATCAGTTAAAATTACAAAAGAAACCTCTGTTTTTCCTCCTCTAATTTTATTGCTTGTATAGCATTAGACTGTTCCTTCTCAAATTCTTCTTTGCTTTTTAGTTGTAAATCGGCTTCCCCTTCATAAGCAATTGCTTTTGGGTCCTAAAAATTTCCAAAATTCGAAAAAACTTTAAAAATAAAAACCAAATTTTTAAAAATTAAAGCCAAAATAGCAAGAATATAAGGAGAAAATTCGTTTTCCAATGAATCACCAGCAAGTTTTGAAAATATTTTTTCAATTCCAGAAGTAAAAAATCCAGCAATTATTCTTGACTTTATTGAATTATCTGAGGACTGTAATAAATATAAAAAATATCGAAAAGCATAAGGGGATAATATTGGTTAATTAAACTTGGATGAAAAAAATCAGAAAAATTCTTGACTTTAAGAGTTGTACTTTAAAAAGGCACTTAATGGTTATACGCCTACAAACGGAGTGCCATCCGAATTTGATCGGCTCTAATATTTTGATGTTCGATCCTAGGCCCGTAGCCAGGGCACTCAGTTTGTGGGCGTATAACCGATAAGCACCTTTAAAAATGTAAGTCTTGTTAGGTATGTGTGGGTCTAGTATAAAAGGAGTAGTTAGCGATCAGTCTCGGTCGACACCTGGGTCGACCGGCGCCGTCTGTCCTTCATCATTCTTGCCTTTTGCCACCTTCATTATTGTTGTATTTGCCATTCGGATAAACGTTATATTCTATTCCTGTGTTAGTCTGTTTGTCACTAGGTAAGACCGCTACCCTAGGACATAACAAGTCTGCTTTTAAGTCTATTTTTAAAAATTGATTTCAGAAAAAAATCGGGAGACTTTTATTAAATCCACTTACATGCAAAATAAAAAAATAATAAAAAAAATAAAACCCATACCGAAGGATCATTTGTAGCAATACCTTCAACGCCAATAGAAAATACACACCTCAACAACACCAAAATTCGTTCAACAAGCAACCGTTCCTTTTCTTGTCGTTCCTCCCAGTCCTACAAAAAACATTAACTTTTCTTTTAATTTATTTAAAATAAACCTTATCAAAATATTTATTCATTTTTATAGCAAATTGAACAAATATTTCTGGATCTGTAAATGCTACAAGTGTTCGATTTAAATAATTCTCAATTTCATAATATATTTTCCATTCAGAAGCATCTTCAGGTATTTTGTTTTCAAAAATAGTAAGGGTTGGTTGACAGAGGTTGACAGCAAGCCTGTATATTTTAAGAGGAAAAAATTATTTCCATCGAAAGGATCAACACAAAACAAAAAAACAATTAGAGATAGGAAATTTTGAAAAGTTTGGACCTGTTCCGGGACTCTGAGATTTGATTTCTTGACCTGGACTGGATCCTGGGCCATGGTACAGACCCAGGCCGATCTCTACTAACAATAAACTACAATTTATTAAAAATGTTTCTAATATAGTAATTGGAAAACTTTAGTTGACTAATAGAATTATAAGTTACGAAAAAAATGGATGAGTTAACTTATTTAAATCGAAGAACAATTTAAATTTTTCTATAAATAAAGCATAGAAAAATTGGAAAAACAAAATAAACAAGACCGAACCCCTATTTAATCCAAATCCTGTAAAAGATCAATACCTAAGCGAAGCATCAAACAATTCATCACTTGTATCCACAGACTTCATTATCGGAACCAAATCACTTTTTACAATATTGTGACTGTTACATAATCTTCTAACACTAAAATATCTGTCATCTCGTCTCAAATGTCTTATTAAATCCCGAACATTCTCTAAATAAAAATAAATTTTAAACAAAAATATTTAATAAAAAAAATTACGAAAGCAATCAGGTTCTTGATAATATACACCATTCTCCAAAAAACCAAGTGTGTTGATTAAAGATTGAACTTCTTTTTCTATTTGTTGATCCATTTAAATAATAAGGAGAAAATCTAGAAAATTATTTTTAAATTAAAAAAAAATTAGAAACGAAAATAGTCTCGTATAAATAAAGCTTCAAAATAAAAAAAAAATATTTTTATATCCAAAAAAATTTTAAACAAAATCGTTAAAAGGAAAAAAATAAATAAAATATATTAAAAAAAGAAAAGTAACATTTTAATCAATTTTTAAAAATTCTTTTTCTTTTTTTTCAAGCAATTCTCTTCTTTTTCTTGTTTTTTTTTTAATTTTTTTGGTGTTGATCCATCTCATCGAGCAACACTGTTTTTAATATTTTTGGGAGACAATATATTTTTTTAAACAAAAATAGGAGGAAATAAACCTTTCTCTTTTACATGTTTCTTTTTCAGCAATTAAATTAAATATATTTAGCTAAAATTGAACAAACTTAATTTAAAAAGGAAAAATACTCTTAAAGAAAAATTGACCTTAAAATATTTTTAAATTTTCTCCCCAAACTAAAATTAATTCTAAAAAACACCTCAAGAAAACTCCCCAAAAACTAAAAATAAATCTCCAAAAATTTCAATTTCCATTCAACTACTAATCCAAATTTCTTAAATTTCTGCCCAATTATTAGCTAAATATTTATTTTCGGAATTCTCCTCCTCATTTTTCATTTCCCCTTTCTTCACTTGAATCGAAACGGCGGCAAATTATAATTTGGACGCGGCGGAGTTTTCGGACGCGGACGAACACGTTTGTGAGGCGGTGGAAGATGCCCCTCATTTTGGGCATTTTCCTGTCGTTGTTGAAATGTTGTCAATTCCTCCGTACATTTAGCCGACATTTTCTCATCCAATTCAGCTTTAAGTCCTTCACTCAATTCTCGATTATAAACTTCAATATTCGCTCTAAGTTCAGCACAGAAATGTGCAGGGCTCATTTTATCAAGGCAATGAGTTTTTAAATTGTAAAGTTGATAACGTTCAGCTAATGCCAATTTTTGAATTAAAGAGAAATGTTGTTCAAGATTGTTATTTTGATTTGAATGGGAATGATTATGTTGGTAACTATGAGTGTGAAGTTGAGTGTGGTTATTGTTGTTATTTTGTCCAATATTTCCAAGATTGATAAGATTGGATGAAATAACCATAGGTATGTAATTGCAGGAATTACACACACTAAATTAAATAAAAAAATTTCTTGGGAATTAGGAAATAGTAAAACTAAATTTGAGTTACAGTAAATTACGAGTGTTTTCAATAAGCAAGAAAAAACGTTAAAATGTGGATATCTGTAATAAAAATAAATTGGGTTTTCGTGGCTTCCCAGGAAAACCATATAACATGTTAAAATTTTACAAAATGAATTGATTGAACTTATTGTTTATAAAAAATTTAAAAACCAACTTATTTGCATTATTTGAAGAACAAGGCAAAGCATTTCCATCATCGCCAGAAAAACCATTAATCAGCAATCTTTCACATCTTTCAGTAACAATTGGAAGATCATATTTATCAGCCAAACGAAGAATATCAGAGATTTTTGAAACTAAAAAATTTTTTTTACAAAATAATAGAAAAATATAAAAGAAACCTGAAGGTTCAGGAAAATTATCAACAGGATAAGACATTGCCAGCATTTGTTGAAACGCTTCGAGATCATCACCAGAAGCTGTGAGATCGTATTCATCAACATCTCTTTGTGCCCAATTAGAAAAAAATAAAGTCCGAAAATAAGAAGAATAGGTAGCCAAATGCTAAAAAAATGAGAATTAATAAATAGATACTCCAGAAAAAATTTTGCTTACATATTTATTGAAGAAAATTATTTTGTCGTGAATACGAAATCGAGCACCTAATTGGATGAGTGAGCTGAAAAATTAGTTAGTTAAACTTAGGGTAGCACCTCGAACCCCGACCCAAAAGTCAACCCCGACCCCAAACACCGGCATGGCTTCTCCAGCAAACCACGATCCACGACACTTCCGACCCCGAAGGCTCGGGGTGCTACCCTAATTATCTTATTTCGTCTCAAACATAAAAACAAATAAAAAATTACCCATAACCGGTTTGTTCCAAAACATTAATTTTCACAGAAATATTCAACCAATCCTTATCGCCAGAGAGCTGAAAATCCTGAATTAAGTTATCCCAAGGAAGTTCAATTCCAATAGTGCCATTTGCCAAGCAACCAGAACTAGATGGAGGAGGAACAGCACGATAAGAAGTCATTGGAAAGCGAGCATTGTCAAAAAAGTATTGTTGAGATTTACGCTCAGATTCGACAACAAACTGAAAATTTTTAAAAATAAGAGAAAAAGTCGATTCAAGGAGGGTTTGTAATTTTTGGTTTAACATTAACAAAACTGTTGTCCCCAGATTCCTTAATGTGTTAATCATTAAGGATTAATTTGCTAAGCTGTTCCGCAAGTTTTAGGAAAATAATCCAAAGATTGTGAATTCGGGAACAACATTTTTTGGTTAATAGTCGAGAGAATGATAAACTGAATTGTGCTCAAAATAAACGATTAATTTCTAGCCCAAATGAGATATGAATTTGAACAAAAAGAAACAATTTCAATGCCCAACAAGGAACCAATTCAAAAATTAAATTAACGAATCCAATATTATGCTCAATAAATGCCTAATATTAGACCTATTGTATTACGCCCCACTAGATTTGTTTAATTTTTTATAATAAAAATTAACCCTTATACGAGAAGTACAACTCCATCCATCAAGTCTTTTGCCTCGTTCATTACAATGAGCATAAATCAATAAAGTCGGCTTAGGTAAGTGTTCTTCATTCAAAATATTATGTTTAAAAGCACCCAGAACCCTGAAAATTAAAAATATTTCTTCAAAATTATATCAAAAATAAACCAATTAAAACGAGAAATCATTCCATTAGAAGTAAATTTGTGGTCAGTTTCCATAGATAAAACTCGGTCAAGTTTAAGATCCAAAAGTCCATCAAAATGATCGTCAGCACCAGACATCGTTTGAAATAAATATAATCAAAACAAACTATACTGAAATATATTTAGGAAACGTAAAAAAATAAAATAGTGAACCTCCCAAATTTTTTGGGAAATAAATTAAAAAATAATAGAAAAGCCCATGTAGGCGCGAGGTCATTACGGCGCAAAGCCATAACTTGCAGGAAAATTTTTGGCTCTTATCAATTTTGATGCAAATCTCTATAGCTCGATGAGAGGAATCGTTTAATACTAAATTTGGTAAGAATCGGAAATCGTGAAGCAAATTATGGCTTTGCGCCGTTATGACCGCGCGCCTACTTGGGCTGTACCCGAAAATAGCATGTGTGCAGAGAAAAAAATTAAATTAACATTATGCCAAAACAATTTTTTAATTTGACTTTTCTTTTGACTTAAAAAGACTTTCTCTCACAAATAATTTCAGTAATTCGTGTTCTAGATAATTTTTAAATTTTTTAGTGATAAAAGGATGGAGCCGGTTAATAATATTATTTCTATTTCCAAGGCTACCTTGACTTTATTAGAGGAGAAACGGCGTATTGACGGTGAACTTGCAAAACGCGAAGTACTTTTAATGGCTAATCTTAAATTGATTACAATGGAACCTCCAAAGACTATTGACGAACAAAATTCGCCTGAATCACCAATTTCTGGCAATTCTGCTGAGTTAACTAATTATGAGACTCCATTACAAATTCCGTTGGAACGCGAAGATGTCAAGAACAACAGCGAGGATAATATCAATCAGGAGGTTAATTTAAATGAAGTTTTTCGTCTTGTTTTGGGGCAAAATGAATTTTTCCGTATCCGAATTTGTAACTTGAACCGGGGCAGCAGGATATAAGGGGATTCACCCTTTTCAACCCGGACTCCGGAGAAATCCGCCGGATCTGGCGTCGGGCACTAATACTTTCAAATTGTGTTTTGTGGTACTCCCCCCTTTTTTCCCGCATCTTCTCTCGGCTGTTTACTTAATTAGTTCCTTTTGCTAGACATAAATCATACCATAACTTTCAGACACCGGAAGAACAATTACCACCTTCTCCAGAGCAATTGCCTCTTCCGCAGCCCAACTCAATTTTTGATGTTGAAGTTTCTCCTTTGTCTGTCAGCCACAGCAGCAATAACGTCAACAGTGCTGTTGAGGCTCCTCTTTCTGATGATGAAACTTTGGAAGTTACTGATGAAGTTGAACGTGAAATTGGTTTAATCATTACTTAAATTTGATTAGATATTGCTTTTTTGATTTTAGATCAAGTTGGCAATGGAGAACGTAATTTGGCTGATGCTGTACTTGGTGGTCGGAAGAACAATAGTTTTACAGGTTTCTTATTCTAGTCGGAGAGAGGGGAAGATGTAAAAACTCAGTCAGTCCTTGTCAAAGTAGAGGTCAGGCGAGGGTTATAACCCTTTGATACCTCGTTGTTTTGGGATCTCTCAAAACTTTGAGACAGAACCATAAAACATTAGGTTGCTAAAGGAGGAGACTGATTAGGAATATAGCTTTTTAGTCCACAGTAAGTAGGGAGTACGCCTGTCGAGGACGTAGTCAGGGGCTTTTGTGGCTATAGCCCTCCATAAATCGACCCATTGACTACGCCTATATCTCAAAAGATCAAACTAAAATATTTAAACGCTATTTCTTTTTAGTTCCACTTCAAGAGCCTCCAACAAATTTTACTATGAAACTCGACTTCAGCCTCAAGGATCTTTTTGCTACTAAACAAGACAATTTTCATTCAACAGAGCAAACAATCAACAACTTTAAATGGATTTTGAAAATTAATTATAGAAAAAAAGAACAGTTTAAAGGGACAACAATTCCTCTTTCTTTGGGTATTTTTGTTCAATGCAAAGGGCCTGTAAATGAGAATAATCGAGGAAGTTGTATTGTGAATGAACTCAATTTCAAAATTCATAATTGGAATCAGGGCGTTCCCGGATTGATGAAGACAAGAGGTTGCTCAACTCCTTTTGAGCCGCCATTTACTTCAACTACCGGCGTTTGGTTTAATTTGGATGGGAGGGAGGTTATTTTTTTGTTTTTTATTTTGATTAAGAGGAAGGGGTTTTAGAATACAGGATGATTTTCCCCATCTATTTTTAAAAGTGGAGGAAAATTTGTAAAAGTAAGGAGGGAGTTCACAATCATAGGAAAACTTGCAGTTTCTAGATACCCAAAAGTGGGGCAGAATTGGTGTATGTATAATTAATGATTATTATCTTTACCTGGCCTGTAACTAGGATTGGAAATTTGTGTGAAATTGTGGAAAATTTTTCTCCCTCGAATTTTTGGCTCCAAAAACCCCCTGGTCACAGGCATGATCTTGGCCGTTCAGTGAAATCAGGTTGGAAAATGTAGCCTTTTTAACGTGACGGGGGTTAACGTCGGATCTGTTGATTTATGTTCCTTTTTTCAGTTTACATTTCTTTTTCTTTTTTAAGGATTAAATTTTTAAGAAAAATTTTAAATTTAAAAATTACAGAAAATGATCGAGGAAGGACTTGTTACCAGAGAGGATCTGAGAATTCGTGTCTCGGTTGTGCTTATATTCCGCCATCCACACAATTCTAACTCGGCTCAAAGTATTCCAGATGATTAAGGACCGATTTAAATATTGAGAGGAAATATTGTTATGAAGATAAGTTAAATTGTTGGAAATTTTTATTGGATTTTTAAGGATATTGAGGGGAATTTTATTGTTAAAAATATTTAATTTGGTTGTTTTTGGCTATTTTTTAATAAATTCTTTTTTTAGTAAATAAATTTTTTATCGAATTCTCGAAAGGTTTTTTGTGAAATCCTAACAAATACTAGCTAAGCAACTGGGTCCTTGAAAAATTGCCGTATCTCAGCCCTACAACTTTTGAATATCCGTTCTCCCTTTGTTTACTGAAAATATTTTTGAAATTAAGATGGATGTTTTTTTCGTTTCGTTTCGTTGAGTGCGAAATTTTATTTTCGTGCAGCTCTGATCTGGACCGTTCTAAATGTCGACATTAACCCCCGCCTAAGCGTTTTATATGTTGTTAGGTTAATCATCCTTGCACTAATATGTACTTAAATGAAATTTCTGTGTTTCTATGTAAAGTTCACTTCTTAAGAATTTAAATTTTAAGAATTTAGAAATTGAGAGAAAATTTTTTAATTTCAACAATTTTCTTAGTCAAAATTCAATCTTGTAATCGCATTTTTTTATTTATTAAATAAAAATAAAAAAATTTTCTCACAAATATTTTTTAAATTAAAAATTGTTAGTTTGGGATTTTTTAATAAAGAATGTACTTAATTTAATTCATTCCAGCTTCAATAAGATTTATTCCCTTATGATATGAAAGAATTACGGCTTTTGTGCTCCTTCATATCTCCTCATTCCATACTCATTCCTCCTCATTCATGACTACTCATTCATATGATCTAAATGAAAGGACTTCTATAAAACTTCCCAATGATCAGGGCTGAGCTTATTTCGCTTTTTATTTTTAGATTTCACACAGCCCTGCTATATAATGAGCCATATCTGTTTAAAGCGTCTTTCTTGGATGTAAATGTCTAGTTCGCGGCCCATATTTTCGCAAAAGGCAATCATTAAAGCAATTGTCCTTCCGTGACGGAGAACTTAATTCAAAAATTTTTTAAATGGGATTTTTATGTAGGTGTTTAAGAAGTTTAAAACCACCAATAAAATGAAATAAATTTTTTTATTAAAAAGATTTTTTGTATTTTGGCGTGAAATTTTTAAACTTTTTCAATAAAACCTTTTAAAACGACTATTGAAAATAAATCCTTTGAAACGTCTAAGAATTTATTTGTTAATTTTAAATAAACAAAATTTTCTCACAAATATTTTTTGTATTTTTAAAGACATGATAAATAAAATTTTTAAGAATGATAAACAACTTTATGTACTTAATAATGTAAAGCATATAGCTATTAATTTTCTAAGGCTGAGCAGTAGGCGGCGTGGTGTAATGGCTAACACATCAGTCCGGTCTACTGAAGATGCTGGTTCGCTCCCAGCCGCCGAATAACCTTTTGCACTAGCTAAAGGAGAGAAATAGCTATAGCCCAGCTGCTTTACTATAATTAAAGAAACCATTTAATAATTACTTTTATTATACAACTTTTAAAATTAAGAAATTCAAAAAAATGTCCTTGGATATACTTGATATTTTATTTAAATTAGATTATTTTGTTTGTTTATTAATTGGTTTTCCTTTAAATATTCTTCTGATTGTTTTAATTATTTTTAAAACACCAAAAGAAATGAAAACACACAGTCGAATTCTGATACAAAATTGTGTTTTGGATATTTTAATTTTGACTAGTCAATTGTTTTTACAAACGGTAATTTTAAATTTCAAAAAAATTTGACTAAATTTTTCGAATTAGTTCCTTTATACACCCAGGAATAATTTTAGAAATCTCAGAAGGCCAAGAAGTCAGAATTCCCCCTTTTTTTGCTCAAGCGTAGAAAGGAAAATGTTTGAATTTTCGCCAAAATTCAATCCCCCAACATCCCCCCTCTTCATTAAAGCTCCCCACTATTTAATAAAGACCCCCTTTCCGGTATGGTTGAAAAATAAAGCCTCATCGGTCTCTATTAGAGAAATACGTTAAATTAAAATTAACTTTCATTTTGTTTCAAAAAATAAGAGTTTTGAATAGAACCCGTTTTGGATTGATTATAAAAATATTTTACAAAGTTAATATTTAACCTTGAAACACGAATTAATTTAAAACAAGTTTATACCTAATTATTTATAGTACACTGCGACGCAAAATTATACGTCCACCCCTTTTTTCGAAATTTTTTTCATTTGTATTGATCAGAATTTTCTGAAAATTTTTATACACACCCTTTAGTGAATAACTAACAAGATGTATATGGTTTTTTGCCAAAATTTTTATTTTAAAAATTTTTAGACCAAAATTTGTGTTTTCGGCCTACGCAAAATTATACGTCCACTTTTCAAAAAAGTTAGTTCCAATAATAGGAAAAATCTACAAAA